CAAGTTTGAGGTCAGTCTGAGGGACATAATGAATTCAATACCAGCTTGAATTATGTAGTGAGACCCTGTCTCAAAAAAACAAAAGTCAAGAAGCAACCAAACTAAGGCTGAGGAGATAGCTCAGCAGAATAAGTACCTGCCTGGCAAGCGCAGGGTCCTGAGTTCAATACCTGGTACCACACACACACACACACAAAAAGAACCAACCAAACTACAAGTCTAATAATAACAAACGCTGGCAAGGCTACGGGGACATAAAGGACCCTTTCTGCAGTGTTGGACATGTACAACAACCATGGATGTCAGTGTGAGGATTCCTTAGAAAATTAAAAACAGAAACCCCACTGGACCCAGGACTTCCCCTTCTGGGGCTCTTTCTAAAACAGCTACAGGGCTAGGATAGCTCAGTGGCCTAAGTGCCTGCCTGGAAGCACAAGGTCCTGAGTTTGATACCTGGTACCAACAAAATAAAGAAATAAAACAGCTGCAGCTGTCATGACACGGGGTCACATGCACACCCATGTGCACTGTAGCAGGAAATACCTAGCCAGTCTGTTAGCTGCCCAGGTAATCATTCCTGTCCCTTTCCTGTCACTGTCTCCTAGAAGCGGCTGGGCTCTGTGCTGCATCAGAAATAGCAGCACAGCTCACAGCAGCTACATCTTGGAAACAGCCTACCTGCCCATCGACAGATGGACGGATGAGGAGGATGCAGCACAGACAGTCCTCACGTAAGGCCAGGCCACGCTGCTGCGACTAGCGCCGAGTGGCCTGGTCACTAAACGGGGAACTTCTACAGTATGCACATTTCCATAGTCACAACAAAGAAACGGTCGAGGAAACTCCAACATGACAACTGTCACAGTGTCTCGCCGCGCGGCCAGCCTCCGAGCGCTGGGATCACAGGTGTGCACCACCCCGCCTGGCTTCACCCACATGACTCTTACATGCAGCGCTGCAAGTGAAACAGAACAAACTACAACACTGCACTGCACGGTGCAAGTGGCAAAAACCACAGCTCTGTGTAGACTCAAGTGTGCTCTACCAAAAAGAGACGTTCAGAGGGCCGGCTAAATAGCTCAGTGGATTAAAGCGCCTGCAAGCAGGCCTAGGAGGTTCAATCCCCATTTGCCCTGCCCCCAGGGCAGGCTGAGAAGGCCATTGAGACTGTGTGTGGGGCACATGCCTGGATCCCAGCTCTTGGGAGGCTGTAAACAGGCGGATCACTATGAGTCTGATCTAGTAGTGAGACCCTGAGCACCCTTAGACCCTTCCCTAAAATACAAAAAAAAGAAGTATAGCATAGCACAGAAAAAGACTGATTGTTGAGTCCACAGAGCTGTGTCGTAAATCTGAGAAGTTGTTAAACAGGCAGGTCGCTAAGCAGGGAGTATCTATTTATAAACAGTGGAGAACTACTTAGCCACCAAGATAAACTTGAATCATTTATAGGTTAGGACACCATCATGTTGAGCGATAAATTCGAAACACAAGCCTAAGTATCATGGGATTTTTTTCATATGAGAAGATCAAAATACTGTATAATAAAGCGTAAAATATCAGACAGGTAATAGGAACAGGAGTAAGAGCTGAAGACAGGAGCCAGGCATGGTGGCACATGCCTGTAATCCCAGCGCTCAGAAGGTCGAGGCAGGAGGATTCCCACCAGTTTGAGCAACACTGTAAATTCAAGGCCAGTCTGGACTACATAGCAAGACCCTGTCTCAAAAAAAAAAAGAACAACAACAACAAAAAGATGGAAAGAGGAGGGAAGGAGGGCAAAGGAATTAGAAAAAGAGAATTAAGGGGCCGGGGAGATGGCTCAGTAGAATAAAACGCTTGCCTGGCAAGTGCAAGGGCCTGAGTACAATCCCCAGTTCCACCAAAATTAAAAAACAAAAAAAAGAGAATTAAAAGAAAAAACAAAACTAGAGCTTTTGTAAATGAGGGGAAAGCCGAGAGGGCTGGGAGGCAGAGACTCAGGAGCTCCTGTGCATTTGGCCAACTCCCAGGACCAGTCAGACCTAAGTACTGCAAACACAGGCGTGTGCAGCTCGGGAGCGCGCAGGATGGCTGCCACAAGAAGTGTCCTCGAGGCCAGCCACAGACCGACCGAGCAGGCCATCACAGGCCCGGCCGCCGTATCCTGGCCCTGGTGGAGGCAGTGGCTGCCGAGCTCGTGAATGCGCTGAGCTCTTTGCTCCTGGTGCTTAAGGCGAGAGCGGAGTGCACTTCCCAACAGAAAACAAAACAGTCTCCCAAGTGCAAGCCAGGAGCAGGGTCTGGGCCCACACTGGGCACTGTGGGGTGAGCCAGCCCCAGGGGAGAGGAAAGAAGGGGAGCGGGGACCGAAGCTCTGAGCAGCCATGTCCCGAGGGCCCTGGGAGCGCGCCTGGCGGGCACCATGCTGCAGGCTGTGGCGTGGGGCCCACCTGCCCGCCCAGCCTCCTCATGAGCCTCATGGAGGGGCTCGACTCAGCCTGCCGTCCACTTCCTGCCAGACTGACCCTGGTCACTAACGCATAACAAATCACAAGCCAGCACCAAGAAGGCCTAAGAGTCACAGTCACTGGTCCCGGGTCACCAGAGCAGGGTTTTCTTAGGCTGCTGCAGGCTGACCGCCAGGCCAAAGCGTCAGGTGCTAGAGGCACGGAGCCTGGAGACCCCTAACTGCTGGCGCCAAGGCCCAGACACAGCAGCTGCCCCAGCCAGCAGAGCAGAGGCACACACTGGCCCGCCACGCCCCCCACGGGCCCTACAGGAACAGAACCAGTGTGAAGGACTGCAAAACCCGGCCCTTGAGGACCCCGCAGGGGCAGGCCCGGCTGGGCGGAGCACACTCTGCATTCCTGCCCACTCCACTCCGCCTCCCCCAGCGCCCCTCCAGGGCATCCTGGGACTCCACTTCAGCTCCCTACTCAGGCCAGGTGTGGCCCGAATCAGCCTGGACGGAGGAGCCTGCAGGGCTGGGAAGAGCCCACAAAGCCCCTGTGCCCAAGGGTGCTGCGGCCACCTGGCCCAGAGCGGAGCTGACAAACACAGTCTTGGCACTTTGGTCAAAAGTCATCCAGGTGGTGACACAGTATGGTGCTAAATGCCAGTAATCCCAACACTTGGAGGCTGAGGCAGGAAGATGAAATTTCAGAGGAAATGTATCAACCTAACGTGACTCTATCTCAAAACAAAGAATAAAAGTGGGCTGGGGATGCAACTCACTGCGCAAGTCCTGGGTTCTACCTCCAAGACTGCAAAATCAGCAAAAAAAAATATGTCCACCCACCCAGCTGACAGCAGACACAGGCAGGGCCCTGCTGCCGCCCAGCAGCCTGAGGCCAAGGGGTGCAGCGGCAGGACAGGCTCTCCTTCTCTCCCGCAAAGACACCCTCCCGGATGTCTGTCCCTGCTGGGGGCTGCAGGCTGCAGTCGGCACCAGGGGAGGATTTCCCAGCCCCACCTGCTCC